CTTACTGTACCACCTGTTTTGTTTTAATGAAAGTAAAAATTAGCTATTAGAGCTTCTGTGGATTCATTTACAGTCATGGGCTCCCAACCGTATTTCTTTGAGATGGCTTTAAGTTCCTGAGTCCCCGGTTCTCTGGCTGAGGTAGTGGTGGTGGGCTGTGTCAGTGACGCAGCCCTTTGATTGGGGAATGTGGTCAGTGACCTTCAGGATGGCCTGTGATGGTCTCCTCCTCCTGGTGTTCATTCCTTGGAGAGGCCCCTCCCACACTGTGGCAGGGTTCATCTATGTGAACAGTAGGACACAGCAGAACCGAGTGGAGTTTATTTTTAAGATTAGCTCTCATGTTCTCCCTCTTTCTCTCTTTCCCCTCGTCTATCAGATCACTAATTCTCAAGCCACCTGTCACAGGGATAAGCAGACAGTCTGTGGAGAGGCCATGGGGACTCTAGCCAACAGCCAGTGAGGGCCTGGAGCCATGAACAACACTGTGAGCACACTGAGGGGTGGCCCCTCCAGCCCCAGGTGAGCCTTCAGGTGACTGCAGCCCTGATTTGACTGCAACCTTGTGAGAGCCCCTGAGTCAGCACCACCTTGCTAGCTCACTCTGTTTCCAGAGCCTCAAGATCACATATTTGCTGTTGCAAGCTACTGTGTTTGGGGGTAATTTGTTACACAGCAATAGAAAACCTAATACAGAGAGGAAAGATAGTATCTTCCTGCCTCTTTCAAAAGAGGCCCTCATTACTTCTGCAGGGAGAACTGTCCATGTCCCTGATAAGAGTGTTTGAGGAATTCATACTTCCTTTGGTAGTCTGGGGGTACTGGTATTCTGAATTAGATATAGAAAGAAATTTTGCCTACATTCATTGCTGCACGCTTGTAACCCTCGTTATTTGGAGGCACGGATCATGAACCATACACAGAATTCAGAGGGTGCTGCAGATTAGTTATTCTTGTCCCTGTTCCATCTTGGAGGGGATGGCGGGAAACATATTTGTGCACTTGTAAGCTTTCGAAACTGGTATAAACGAGGAAAAATGAGCTTTATTTCTTATTATAAACACAAAATACCTGTGGTGTAAAATATAAAAAGGCAAAACCATCCACCATCATGATTGCACCAACTAGATACAAATACTGTTAACAACTGGAGCATATCATGCTCCTGTCCCGTTATGTATATTTTAAACAAGTAGATAATATAATAAGTGCTATGTTATGACTCTTTTCATTAATATATTATGAGCCTGTGTCTATGGGACTAATGTATCACGTCATCTGCAATTCTAATTTTAAATGGTTGCATGGAACCCATTATACAGATGTGTCATAATTTCTTAAGCCACTCCCCTTTTGCTGTATGTAAATTTGTTTTCATTTTTACTATCATAAGGATGGCTAAAAAGAATATGCTTGTAGCAAATATTCATACCTATCTTGACTTCCCTTCTTATGATAAATTATTAAAATAGAATGGTTGGACTAAAATATATATACATTTTATTTTATTTTTTTGAGCAGAGTCTTGCTCTGCCACCCAGGCTGAAGTGCAATCATGTGATCTCGGCTCACTGCAACCTCCACCTCCCAGATTCAAGCGATCCTCCTGCCTCAGCCTCCTGAGTAGCTGGGATTATAGGCGCCCACCACCACACCTGGCTAATTTTTGTATTTTTGGTAGAGACAGGGTTTCACCATGTTAGCCAGGCTGATTTCTAACTCCTGAGCTCAGGTGGTGATCCACCTGCCTCAGCCTCCCAAAGTGCTGGGATTACAGGCATGAGCCACCACGCCTCGCCTAAAGCATATATACATTTTAAATGCTTTCCCACATGTTTCCAAATTCTATTCCAGAAAGGTCGTACCAATCTATACTCATTGAAATTTATTTGTCTACTTCCTTGTACCCTTGCCAGCACTGAATAATAATGTTAAAAAACCTTTCTGGCCTTGTATTTGTATGGGAAACAGAGGTTTTTGAAGAAGTCTAGCTTGCATTCAAAAATCGGCAGCCGCTGGCTGGGCACAATGGCTCACATCTGTAATCCTAGCACTTTGGGAGGTTGAGGCTGGAGGATCGCTTGAGCCCAGAAGTTTGAGTCTAGCCTGGTCAACATAGTGGGACCTTGTCTCTACAAAAAATATAAAAAGTAGCTGGGTGTGTTGGTGTGTGTCTATAGTCCTAACTACTCAGGAGGCTGAAGTGGGAGAATCTCTTGAGCCTGGGAGGTTGAGGCTGGAGTGAGCCGTGATTACACCACTGTATTCCAGCCTGAACAACAGAGCAAAACCCTGTCAGAGAGGAGAGGCGAGGAGGGGGGAGGGGAGGGGAGGGGAGAGGAGAGGAGGGGGGAGGGGAGGGGAGGGAAGGGGAGGGGAGGGACGAAGAAATTGGCAGCAGCTTTGAGTGTGGGCAAGCTCTACTATAATCCAGTACCCAGTGAGAGAAATGAAGAAATGAATTGATTGTTTCTCCCAGATTATGCTTAGGAGATGACAGGAAGAATGTTGAAAATAACATATATGTGTTCAGGATGTAAGAAAGATCAAACATAAAATATTCAAACCTTTTGACCCTGTAATTATACTTCTGACAATTTAGCCTAAATAAAAATGCCAGTGAAAGGGAAAAGGGTATACACACCAAAGAAGTTTATTAATAGTACTTATTTTCTTTTCTAAGACCTAGGTGAGAACAAAGCATTACTTATATTAGCGAAACATACAAACACTTAACAGAGGAGAAACAATTTAAGAAATCAGTATATGTCCGGTCTATCATCGATGGGCATTTGGGTTGGTTCCAGGTCTTTTCTATTGTAAACAGTGCTGCAATGAACATTCGTGTGCGTGTGTCCTTATAGTAGAACGATTTATAATCCTTTGGATGTATACCCAGTAATGGGATTGCTGGGTCAAATGGAATTTCTATTTCTAGGTCCTTGAGGAATCGCCACACTGTCTTCCACAATGGTTGAACTAATTTACACTCCCACCAACAGTGTAAAAGTGTTCCTGTTTTTCCACATTCTCTCCAGCATCTGTTGTTGCCAGATTTTTTAATGATGGCCATTCTAACTGGCATGAGATGGGCTGGTGTTGAACAATGAGAACACATGGACACAGGGAGGGGAGCACTACATACTGGAGTTGGGGGGAAATAGGGGAGGGACAGCGGTGGGTGGGGAGTTGGGGAGAGGTAGCATGGGGAGAAATGCCAGATAGAGGTGATGGAAAGGGAGGCAGCAAATCGCACTGCCACGTGTGTACCTATGCAATGGTCTTGCATGTTCTTCACATGTACCTCAAAACCTAAAATGCAATAAAATAAAATAAAATTTAAAAAAAAGAGAAATCAGTATATGTTAACTTGAAAGAATATTATACAGTTGTTAAATTAGTAATTATAAAGATTATATAGAAATGCAGAAATATATTTATATATTACATATACATACAAATACGGTATAACTTAATCATATAAAGGTTATATAGAAACATATACGTTTATGAAATAATGCGAAATATAAAAAGAAATATGTATAATTTTTAGCATCTAAAAATATGTACTAGTTAAACCCACATCAACAAAGACTGGAAGGAAATATAAAACTGATAATTGTTGTGAAAGAGTGGCATCCCATGTGTGAAATTTTTTTAAATGCATTGATTGCTTTTATTTAAGAAAGACCCAATGTCATACAGAAGTCAAGAAGAAATTGTTTCAGAAGAAACTTTTTGTCCAATTTGTATAAGCAGAAAGACAGAGAGAGAAAGAGAGGAGAGAGAGAGAGAGAGAGAGAGAGAGAGAGAGAGAGAGAGAAACTTCAGCTTGGTTTTAAAACAAGGATGGAAATATGGAATAACTTAAGTTACCAGCACACTTATAACAATTAAAAATCATCTCGCTTCTTCATTCTTCCAGCGTATTTCTGGACTCACAGGTGGATTGACCTGACCTCCAGGAAATGTGGGACAAGGACTTGCCCCTCAATTCCTCAGTTACAGCACGTTTGCTGTTTATGTGAAGCTGGCGGCTTTCAGTCCATGCTGAAAATTTTCTTTTAGGTCATTGTTGTGTAACTACCATGAAAAGTAATAATTTTGGAAAAGGCAGGAAAAGGTTCATGGCAGGAGGCGAATTAATGTGCTCCGGGGACAGTCATGGAAAATGCTTGGCCACACTGGGCGTGTTCCGTAGCCAGGCATTGCTGAACGATGCAAAGTGAAAGGAGGTGGAGGCGCATAGAACTGGGCTGGGAGCCAGGCTCCACTTCATACCAGAAGGATGAGCCCAGGCAAGTTACTGAACTTCCTACAGCTTAGTTTACATAGCTGTGAAAATGGATGAATAATGCCTGCTTGTGCTGTGGTTAGGGAGGGGGACGCCCTGCTTGGAGCCTAGTGTGCAGTGGGTGCTCAGTGAGTGGTGATGATGATAAAAAGCAATGCTGCTCATTTTCTATATTCCTCTTTTCATAATGATTGAGATTACAATGGCAAGAAGGGAATCCAGCTTCAAAGAAAACATTTGCAAATCTGTTTCTGGTAAATGGAAATGAGAGCAACTGTAAACCACGAGTCTGTCCAGGAAAGAAGAGAGTGAGTGAAGGAAGACTTTCTCAGCTGGGTGGTTATGTGAGCAGCGTCTGTCCTGTCTCTCTGTTAAGTAATTTATTTGGACATCTTGACTGATTCATAGCAACATGGCACTAAAAAGCAGCACTTAACTGCAAACCTGCGTGCACTGCAGAAATAAACTTGGCCACGAAAAGGTGATGGCCAGAAAAATTTGGGGAGGGCATACGGAATCGAAAATCTTACATGGTATCTATTCCTGTTATTTAAAAAATCATTTTATACCCTAATTTTTAAAAACAAAAGCTAGATTTTAGCTCTTCTCAATCCAGTGATTTGAAATCAGCCTGAAGAGAACGAGGTGCATTGAATTTGCTCTCTATGACATCAATAAAATTTGTCAATTTCATTTGGATTTCCAGAATCTCCAGTGCTAGGAGACTCACAAGGTGGAGAGAAATGGCCTGACTTATAGAAACTGAGCGGAGCCTCTGGAGCCACCTGATGCAGAAAAACCTGTGACCTGGAAAAGTCTATTTGTGTTTCCCCTGGGAGTCTGGGCCAAGAAGACAGGGACAAGCTCTCAGCTCTGACTACCCCTTTCACAGGGAAAAAAATCCTCTGCCTTCTTTGCACCAAGTGACAAATTCCTTGCCATATCGAGATGGCTTTTCCTCTTCCTCTTCCAACGTCTTTTAGCAGCAACAGCAGCTCAAGTAACTGGAGTTATTTCAGTGTGAAAATGCAGGCTTTGTAGACCTCTTATGCAGACAGATGCAGTTTCAAAGGAAACGTCTTTGGCTGGGTACTCAAGTGTTACACGGGGATTATGGGGAGTTAATCTTCACTGTTTGTCGTGGGAGAAGAGGAAAGCAGAGCTGCTCTTTCTCATTACTCTCCCCAGCGTGCCTCTGTTTCCTTTCGTATCTTGGAATTAGGAAGACGGAGGAGACTTGAGCAGTGACCCACCCAGCCTCTTGATGCATGCTGGGCTCACCTTAAAACCCCCAAAACAGATGGCAGTTGATTGTGGTTGTAAAGACCCCAGCATAGACTTCCTGCAGCCTCCCTTGTTAGCCACTATCAGTGCTTAACCTTCTGTCATCTGAATAACTGCTTCTTTAAAATGATGTTCGAGACCAGCCTGGTCAGCCTGGTGAAACCCCATCTCTACTAAAAACACACACACAAAATTAGCTGGGCATGGTGGTGGGCACCTGTAATTCCAGCTACTCGGGAGGCTGAGGCAGGGAGAATTGCTTGAACCTGGAAGACGGAGGTTGCAGTGAGCCGAGATTGCGTCACTGCATTCCAGCCTGGGCAACAGAGCAAGACTCCGTCTCAAAAAAAAAAAAAAAAAGATACCAAAGATAGTAGAAATTGAAAAGGAATCTCCCAAAAAAACCATGCAAAATTCCAGTAAATCTCCTGCAACAATATTGCAACAGTTTAAATTTACTGTAGAAAGAGCTGAAGTTTAGGAGACACGACTTGATAGTATTTTCGAGAGATATTACGAGTGCAAATGAGTCCTGTTCCTCTTGCAGCAGGGCCTGCTCCACTGAGTCATCCTGCCTTCAGAAGCCTCCAGCCAAGCAGCAGGCCCGGCCACAGGCACCCTGTGTCCCGAGCCTCCAGAGCACAGGCTCCCACACGATGACGTTCTCATTGCCCTTAGCTCCACTCCAGGAGGGGCCTGCAGTTCCGCAGCCTATCAGGGGTCTACTGGGAAGTGAAGTATCGCTGTCCCCTTCCGGCAGCCCCTGCAGTGTCTGTGAATGGCTCTCCTGGATTAAGAGTTTGCAAAGAATGGCCGGTGGCCAGGACTGGCCTGCTGCCTTTTTTTGTTTAACCCGTGAGCTAAGAATAGTTTTTACCTTTTTTAAGTAGTGGGGGGAAAAAAAAAATCAAGGGAAGAATACTATTTCGTGATATGTGAAAAATCACATGAAATTCAAATGTATGTGTCCATAAATAAAGTCTTACTGGAAGAGAGCCTTGCTCATTTATTTCTGTCTCATTCGTTACTGTCTGTGGCTGCCTTCACGCCACAGTGGCAGTACTGAGTAGTTGTGGTGGCACAGTATGACAGCAGATCCGAAAGTATTTGCCATCTGGCCCTTTACAGAAAAGGTTTGCTGACCCTGGCTTTTGAGCCTCTCATCACTTTGGGATCCATCTCCTCACCTTCCCCAGAGGGAGGGAGGCAGTAACGTCCCTCGGGAGGGCTTAGTTCTTGCTCGTAAAGCGATAAGCCCTCAAAGCCCCCTCTCTGCAGTCTTCTTGTTGGCTTGAGCGTGGTAGGGCTGGTTCAGCCAAGATCAGTTGGAGGGTGGGAAGGGGGCGCGGCATAGGAGGAAGCGGGGTGTCTGCTCTAGTCCTGCCTGCAGCAATCTTTAGAATGCCAAAACTAAGAAGAAAATGCTGGGTTTTGGCTGTGGGATGTAATTTCAAATTCTGGAAAATTAGAAGCAACAGAACGTGGGATGTGGGCGTCCAGGACTCCTCTGTTTGGCCGCATTTGGTGCCATGGGTGGAGGAGATGGGAGAAGGAAGACGTTTGTGCAGTGAGAGGGAAGAATCAAGATTCTGCCTTGGATGGACCAAGCTTGTGGTTTGTTGAGAGAATGACTAGACAACTGGCCGCCTGAAGACGGGATGGATGTCCGAGTCCACGAGGCATTGCAGGTGGATGGTATGGAAAGCCATGGCAGTGGACGAGGTCTTAAATCAGCGGGTACTGACGGAAACAAGAAGCCGTCTAAGGACTCACAATGGGCTCTTCAACACTTAGAAGTTAGGTAGGGGAAAAAGACTGTGTGAGGGCAGGATCCTGAATGTCCCACTCACTGCTATATCCCTAGCACTGGAAACGGTGCTTTGCGTGCAGTACATGCTTAATAAATTATTTGTTGCCCACGTAAGTGAACTTGAATTCCAATGGACTAGCATCTTCCACAGCAACACCATGCTTGCCTATTTTCCCTCCCTCGATCTCTGTCTCGTCCTGTCTCTCCTTCCCTTCTCTTCTGCCTTCTCGTTGCCTTCTCTGATACGTGTTAAACTCATCAGGAGTGCCCAGGCACCCGACCGTTCTTGAGCATTCCTTATCTGTTGCTAGTTTAGTGAAGGAGACAACATATATTCTTCTTTTCGTCTACATAGTTGGTTTTTTTTTAACGTTACAGTTGTTCCTATTGCACCTCTCTATGAGCTGTCAGTTAATGCTATTTTGGCTCTATTCCTATCAGAGATGAATGCTTCACAACTTGGTGTCATCCAACCTCATTAGGAAGTTCTTGGTTATGACATTGTTGGGATAAAGACAGAGATGTTCAGTACAGGTCCTCCCTGGCATAAGTTAGGTCACACAGGATGTCCCCAGGTGGAGGCTGAGTCATTGATAGGCTGCCTTTCAGGTGATATTATTCAGCTCTTGGTGCCTGCACTTAAGACAGAAGAGTCTCTCTTATTTCCTTCTATCTAGTTGATTTTGAAAAGTCATTTGTGATGGAATCTAAGGTCAGATTCCAGCACAGAGAGATTACATCTCTTGCGCATTCCTTATCTACATGGTCTATCTATCATCAAAGAAAATTAAATCGGTCTGCCAAGATTTGATCTTCACACACCATTGAGATGAGTGCAAATCGATTGCTCGTTGTTGCTAGAGTTGCTCTTGGCGCAGAAGAGAAGTGACTTCTATGACGGCCTGCTTGGGAGTTGCTTGGGGTGGGGCAAGGGAAATTAGAGAGAGTTGCCAAGGCTGGAGGTCATGTTTAGCAGCAGGCATTATGCCAGGCACTTGAGGAGAATTTTCCCATCTCATGTTCACAACTGCCCAGCGAGGTTGGTATGATTATGTCCGCTTTCCAGATGAGGAACCTGAGGCCGAGAAGGCAGAGGGTCGTGTTTCAGGCCACACACTGGAAAGTGGCAGAGGCAGAACCAGAACTTCCCGTCCTTCAGGCTGAGTCCGGCAGTTATAAACGTGCAGTATTCCAAACAGTATCGCATTGCAGGGAAGACAATCTTTAAAATCCTAAAGCTTTAGACATCACCAGGATACAGATCACTTCCAAATGTTTAGCTCTGCTCCCTAAAATCCAGCCCACTCTGCAACTGCCTCCTGGACATTTCTACTAGGACATCCTTCTAAAGGCTAGAGTGCAATGTAGAAACCCAAATAACCATCTTCCCTTCAACACCCAGGCCTCCGCCCCTCACTGGCCTGCGTTTTTTCATGGTATGTCATTCTGTCAAATTTCTCAAAATCTGAGTTATTCTGAACCTCTCCTCGGGGATTCTATCCCTAAAACATTTCTTATCTCCATCTCTCATTTCCATTTTCCCTATCAGTACCATTTTGGCCTTTGTCACCTAGGGCTGGGATGACCAAGACAATGAAATATGTCATTCACCAGCTGTCACAGTTTAAACGCTGTGTCGTAAAGTCAGAGCCTTAAACTATGGACTTCGACTTTGTCTGAATATTGGGATCACCTGGAGAGTTTAAGCAGCACTATGAATTCTCTAAGAATCATCTCCCCTTTCAGCATTACCAGGGTCATATAAGGTGTGTTTGTATCTCTGAGACCAATGATGTTGCCATAGGTTCTGGGGTCAGACCTTGTATCCAAGCATTAAGAAGCCAGGGCCTTAGTCATACTCTTGTCTCTTTAGACTGGATGAAGGCAGGCAGGCTTGGTTGCCAATAAAAAGAGTCAAGTGGGAGAAATTTAACATCATTGCACGTTTCACTTTTCATTACTCCCCCTGAAGGCATCTGCTCTGTTTTCTGGTGACTCCCGCAGATGGTGGTGCCTCTGTGAGGCCTTTGATCTTCCCTCCAAAGGGCCATGCCTCAGACCTGTCAGCTGCTCGTTTTATGTCTTCTGACCAGCTTTCCTGGAGCTTTCTTCCAGAAGACAGCTAGTTGGTTGGCAGATCTGGTCAATTATCCCCGAATATAATGGCAAAGTTTCTTAATTTGCATTCCATGTAACACTAGTACTATGAAGCACTCTACAAAAAGGCAAGTTCCATGGCCAAATAATCTTACACATCTCTTGGAGAGGCGTTTTAGCATGTTAAAGGCTTTGAGAAGATCTGCATGGCAAGGGCTTGTTGATTTTAGTTTGTTCCATCATTTTCCAAACGTATTTGACCATGGAACTCCTTTATTTTCAAGCTCTATTCCAAGAAAACTGAGGCCAATGTCTATGAGACATGATTTCCGGTAGGTTAAAACATGGGGAAGATGGCTGTTGATAATATAGGTTAATTGTAACAAACATCCTAATTTCAGAGACCTTAAAATGTAAAAGCTTGTGGACTTTAGGCTTAGTTAAATCCAGTGATACAAAGTCACATCCCTTGGGACTAGGGTTTTGTGGAACACCTGTGAGGAACTGCTGGGCAAGATGATTCTATTTTAACAGGGATGTTCTGGATATGACCAAATGTGGGCAAGGCAGTAGAAAGGGCAGGCAGAGGAGGCATTGGAGGGGAGAAGGGATTTCCAGCAGCTGCCACTGCTCTCTGTTCAAGAGGACTGACCTGGGAAGGAAGGAATGATGTCTTCATTGCCTGCAGCCTGGGATCTGGTGGGCAGAAGAGTGTGATGACTCCAGCTCCACCCTGAGAAACAGCCTTCTGGCTTGCCAGGTGAGAGGTATCGTGAAACAGAAAAAGGTGCATATATGTTGTCATCAGGTGGCAGGTAGGGGTGGTGGTGAGGAAGCTGATGGGAAGTGGCATTGAGCCCCAGCTGTGCCCTATTGTGGCTGTGTGAACTTGAGGGCATTTTTATATATTATATATATATAATATATAAAAAATATATAAAATATATAAAAATATGATATCACCAGGATATAGCTCACTGCACTTCAGCCTGGGCAACAGAGTGAGACTCCATCTCAAAAAATATATATATTATACATATATATATAATTATATATAATATATATTTCATACAATACATATATAAATGTAAAATGTATAATATATATTTTTATTATATGTATTGTAATATATATAATATATATATTTTGAGATGGAGTCTCACTCTGTTGCCCAGGCTGGAGTGCAGTGGTGCGATCTTGACTCGCTGCAACCTCTGCCTCCCAGGTTCAAGTGATTCTCCTGCCTCAGCCTCCTGTGTAGCTGGGACTAC